ATTGTTTTATATTACAGATAGTGTTTTTTCAGAAATATCTACACAAAGACAATTTTAATAATCCTTCTGTGTGTGTGTGTGTGTGTGTGTGTGTTAGTTCTCCAGAGTAAATGTGGCAGATGGTTTTCTGGTGGGTGTGTTGGATGCTGCAGCTGCTCTTTCTCAGACACACACACACACTCTCTCTCTCTCTCTCTCTCTCTCTTTCCCCATTATTCTCAGCCATACACACCCACACACACTTAGAAAAACAAGGTGGTGCTGAAAAAGTACACCAGGATCACCTGATAGAACCAGTCAGTGATCCAGCTGCATTATTTATCAGCAGCCACTCTGCCACCTTCATGTGCTTTAGATTCCGACCAGGGCTGTGACCCGTCTTCACCTCCTGCCTTCATTTTTATCCTTTAAAAAAACATTCACGCCTTTCATGACATCATTACCACATCAGGACGGAAAACAGATTATGGATTATGGAATGATTGGTGGGGAGGGCGGGCGGCCCAACCCCCACGATAACCACCCATCCCTATAACAGCCCCACCTTTCATCCTCTCAGCTCTCCCCCCTCTCCCCTCTCCTGCCTCTCCTCTCTCTTTCCACTCATCTTTGCTCAAAACTTCAAAGCAGTTCTGCTTTGAAGTCATTGGGAAAACGAGAGGAGTCCCTCAGGGACAGTACCACGTACACGTAGGACTGGGGAGTATGTACACAGACACGGACACACATGGGTCACACTGAGCTACGACTGAGTGACAGCTGCTAAAGGTCCTGTGACTGCACACCTCACACAAACACACAGGTTTGAATTAAGAATGACTTGAATGTTTGATTGAACAAAAAGATCATTTTTAATGACGACCACTCTGAGGCTCCACTTTTTTAGATTCTCAAATGTTTTTGAACCTAATGTGATCAGTTTTACTGCAGTCTCAACGGAGGGACCTTTGATAGTAACAACACGAGATGACTGATGTGAGATCAATAAATATGAGGCGAGGATTCACACCAAACAGCCCACTGTTACATCTATTTAACTGAAAACTGGTTATAAACATCCATGGTTTTTGATCTGCTGTAAATGAATACAAATTATGCACAGAAGAACGACGCGCTGTTGTGTCTGCCCCAGTGCAAATACACAAGCTGTGCTGCAAAACCACACAGTGGGAAGGAGGAGGGGAGGAGGGGGGAGGGAGGTGGAAGGCTTGCTGTGTACAGTCCATCTCAGGTAACCCTAATGGAGGAGAGGGAGGAGGTGCTGCATTCTGCCAGTGAGTGTTCCACTGCAGGTTTCTGATGACGGCAACAACACACCACAACAATAGCAACAGCCCGAGGCTCACAACAGCCTCCCAAGGACCACAGCGGGTGGAGAGTGTGCTGGGTATTGATCTGATGTCATTCAGGCCAAGGTCTCACAGACACTACACTTTTATTTCATGTGTGGTGTAATCCTCAGTTTGAGAGACGGAATTTCAGCAGAGATGGTTCCATCATGTGATGTCCCTAAAATTATTATTTTATGACTGCTCCTGTTAGAGACGGTGTTAATAAGGGGTAATTACTATTGCCTTAATTGATCCTGATCAATCACACTATTACCTTGTCAAGTGATGAACATCATTTGATGTTGTGTCTTAAGTTGTGTTATGAATTTTATACTGCGACTTTAATTTAATGGGTCTGTGCTTCTGCAAAACATTGTCATCATTACAAGCCTCGATGAACACAGTGGCTAAAAATTGCATAAATGTATTAAAATATATATTAAAAATGTAAAATAAATGTATTTGTTGTTGGGTAAAGGGAAAACAGCAACCTCCAAAGTTTCACTCACAGTTTTGAATGAAATACAAAACAAATACATTTATTATTTGTCCCACGATGGGGAAATTCGAACTCTTTGCAACCCACACAGGCTGCCACAGGAGGCGCCATTAAGTGTGCAGTTCCTCTGGAACTCAAACACAAGTATTAGTATAAAAAAATCGAATTTGCTTGTACTTTAATACTCTCTGGAGAGGTGGGTTAATTCTGTTTTAATAACATTTCCTACAGTGAGAGGGTCTCATCAAGAGTCACACACTGTCAAGGTGAGATAGGTTTTTCACTTCCACTTATCAAACTGACACGGTGCAGTAACTCTATGGCTCTTTACAGAATAATCAGTGGAGGAAAAGACTGGAAAGGCTGCTCGGAGAGAAAAATAAGTGAGATACCGCCTGCTGTGTCAGCAAAAGGAGCCACGATGCTGCGGTGGAAGTATCAAGGTGAATCACAATTTAACATCACAGAAGCCAGATGTGTTTGACTTCTCTGAAAAGATGATGTGCGCCTGCTTTTACACGGCAACAATTTGTACAGTATTTGTCTTTTCCACTCTACATAACCAATCATGACATGATGATCGGTGGGGGGTTGAGCTATTACATGGAGAAACAGGAATTGTAATGGAAAGATGCCTCCCTCATCCCCCACCGCACCCTCTTCCCTCACATGTTCAAGCGTTCACCGACGTTTAACAGCATCTCGGGATATTAAGGAGCAGACGGAAATAGTAGAGAAGGAGGAGCAGTGTTAGTATTCCAGTGGGAAGAGCGAGGAGCGGGGTGATGGCAGGCACACTGACAGAGGCTGCATGTGGTGAGGAAGGACACTGAGGAGAAGTGCTAGAAGCACTGAGATGCTGCAGAGCAGGGGGCGGTGGGATCGCTGCTAATCTAGGAGGAATGTGAAAGTAGAGCAGGCGGGAGACAGATGCTTTGTGGAGGAAAAACAGGAGGATGGGGCAGATAGAAGCAGAGTGACGAACCGTTCTCTCACACCTGACACACTACAATATGAGCTAATCCTAGTATCAACATCTCCTCAGCTGGCCATGGTTCTCACCTAAATGTCCGAGTGGGGATAACGTACGCTTCCTGGAGACAATATACTCTCTACGTTCCTGTTCCCCTCAACACCAAATCCACTGTTTGGTCACCATTGTCTGAGATTTTCCTGCATAAACAATCTCTTACCAACATCGGATCACGGCTTAGTGTTTATAATACTTTTGAAAAAAACTTGTTTTTACATTTTACATTTTACTGTCTAAGCTTGTGTTATGCATTAGATAACGTTATCAGTTTGGCATATTGTCTAAATTTGTGTTATGTATTAGATAACGTTATCAGTTTGGCATATACAGTACAGTAAATCAAAATTCTGTAAGCAAAACACTGACTGTCACTATTGTGTCACTCACTGCTTTTCTGAACTCATAAGAGAAAGGAGAGTTGATCATTGATTTATATATATATATTAACACGGAATGATGCACACTGCTTCCATTCAAACTATTGTTGTTTATTTCGTCAAATTTTGGCTTTTCTTTTTAGAGGAAAATGTATCAAAAACAACATAGGAAGTTACCAGGGGCTAAATAAAAAAACATCCGGCACGGACAACGTCTAATTGGAGCTGAAGTTGTCATGTAAAAAGGAGGAACAATAAAGGGTAAGAGCCAATCAGGTGTATGTTTGTAGCCCAAGAGTATCGCCTGACCAAAACATAAGAACATTATTAAGTTTTAAAATAAAACTCTTAGCACCTTCTACAAGCCACCATCAAGATGCACTTGATTAATCATTATTAATCATGATAAATTACACCTGTGATTAATCATGAGTAATTGTGGTAAATCTCCAACTATTCAAAAATAAATCAACAAAATAATTTTTCTCCCTCTTTTTTGAACTTTTGCACAGAAAAGAAAATCTGGATTCAGGGCAGCTATACTGCAGTATCTAAAAATACTGACAGAACAGATGCCTTAAACAGAGAGGAGTCAAACATTGTTAATGAGATGATGCTCAGTGAACCCTATGAGCAGCCTCACTCATAAATGCTCATGATCGCCTGAGTAAAGTGTGTGGCCATCACCAGGGTTTGTACTATTGTATTTGACTTACAACTCATTTGATTTGAATGGACCGTACGAGATGAAACACCTGCCGTGATCCCAGAAGTCTTTGTCACTACACCAACACTGACAATCTCTCAAAAATATCATGTCATTTTTTCAGAAAATGTGTTTAAGCATTCACAGTTGAGATCTTTTCTGACCTTGAAGTGACCTGTATTTAAAAAGTAAAGTGAGTGGTTTTGGGGCATCTGTTTAATTTATTTATTTACTTATTTGCTGGTTTAATTCATAAATACATTTGCATTAATACCTCGTTGCTTTTTATAGATATTATAGATCTTTTCACTGTTTACTTTTTAGCCTAGTTCAGAAACACATACACGTTTGATACATGTCATGTCTCAGAGTAATAGTAGAATAAAATGAATACATTTAAAAAAAATGTTTTTGTTTATAATGTTTATATTTCTCTTCTCCTTTTTTACTTCTTGCTGTCTTTCCTTCGACATTTATCATTTAATATTTATGGGACTTCACCATTAAATTGTAAAAGTAATAAAGTAAATGTAATGTCAGTGTAAAATATGTTTCTAAACTTTTGTTTATCACTATGGTGGGTGAATTAATTATTTCAAAATAATAAAAAATAATAGCAAATAGCAGCTGTTACACATTTAGTGTAATTCTATTGTTACTGTTATTATTATTATAGACAATCAGTATTATTTTTGTCGGCGGCTTGTCATGTTCGGGGCTGAATGTCCTGGAGCCATCATTGTAGCGGAGAATAAAGACACAGCAGCTGGTCATAGTGAACAGCAGGACAGGAAACATACCAGTGATAAAAACACACCACCATCTGCAAAGCAGCCAGAGGATGGTGTCTACAAAACACACGCTCTCCCCGTATCTCTTTGTTTCACACGAGCCAGTCTCCACGGCGTACAAACAACAGTCGGACTGGAAACAACGATTTAATGCGATTATACCGCACGAACGAAGAAGAAAAGACGGGCTCGTTTATCCGTAGCTTTTGCTCGTTTTTAAACATCAACTTGACGCCTATGTGAGCTTCTTGGCAAACTCTTACCTTCTCTGTAGAGCCGTGTGTCGCTGCTGTGGCGGGGTTCGTGGGCTGTCGGTCAGAATCTCCCACCTCTGGGACCGGGCTCGACACTGGTGCTGATGCTGAGCCGCTCCTCTTCGTCACTGTTAGCTCCACCGCTGCCTCCTGTGCTCGGCTGGTGGTGCTGATGGACAGCGCACCAAGAAGCTCAGCTCAGGAACAAAAAAAATAAAAAAAATAAATACACGTCCTGAGTGTTCCACTTGTGACTTAGCGCCACTTCTCGGTGCGGAGGATTAAATGCAGCAACCTGGAGCCATCATTGTAGAGGAGAATAAAGACACAGCAGCTGGTCATAGTGAACAGCAGGACAGGAAACATACCAGTGATAAAAACACACCACCATCTGCAAAGCAGCCAGAGGATGGTGTCTACAAAACACACGCTCTCCCCGTATCTCTTTGTTTCACACGAGCCAGTCTCCACGGCGTACAAACAACAGTCGGACTGGAAACAACGATTTAATGCGATTATACCGCACGAACGAAGAAGAAAAGACGGGCTCGTTTATCCGTAGCTTTTGCTCGTTTTTAAACATCAACTTGACGCCTATGTGAGCTTCTTGGCAAACTCTTACCTTCTCTGTAGAGCCGTGTGTCGCTGCTGTGGCGGGGTTCGTGGGCTGTCGGTCAGAATCTCCCACCTCTGGGACCGGGCTCGACACTGGTGCTGATGCTGAGCCGCTCCTCTTCGTCACTGTTAGCTCCACCGCTGCCTCCTGTGCTCGGCTGGTGGTGCTGATGGACAGCGCACCAAGAAGCTCAGCTCAGGAACAAAAAAAATAAAAAAAATAAATACACGTCCTGAGTGTTCCACTTGTGACTTAGCGCCACTTCTCGGTGCGGAGGATTAAATGCAGCAACCAAGCTGCAGCATAGTGAATGCAAAGGAGATTGAGGAGATATGGGTAGGGGGCCACCTAGTGTTATGTTTTCATCCACCATAGTTAGGGTTCCAAATACTTTAATAAACAATGGCTCAGTTCCATCATCTTCTCAAAATGTGATTGTTTTTCAAAACGTGAAACAGCAACGTGCCAAAAGATCTGCCTCAGTCTTTCAGGAGTGTTTAGTAGTACTAAAACAGGAGGATGAAGTACAGACGTGATTTATTGATAAATTGATTAAGAGATTATACCCAGATCAGCCTTTATTTACACTTACAAAAACAATAAAAGCTGAAAAGATTGTGTTTAACTGCACAATTTAATTACATTTTTAAATATGAACTTATTAAATTAGGGAAATTTACACCTGATTTACAACAATGTTCATAACAATCAGGACAGAGGCAAGTTAATCTCATACTTTTTGATAAATTACATTTTTGAAAATGTGTCCATATCCATATCTGTCTGTTATTAAAGAAGACAGGCCATGTAGGAACACAAAATCTATTTTGAAAAAAAAGAAAAAAAAATTTTGTATGATGTCCAGATTGGCATCTTCACGTGCTAGGATTACCAATGCACCCTTTACTATTAACAAACTGTACTTTAAGAGTCATTTGACCACCATCAAAAAGTTCAGATTGATGTTTTAAAATGTTTTTACTTAATGTTTTGTAAAGGGTCAGTTTTATTAGTTTAGTCTCTTTTCTGTTTGTTTTCACAAGATTACACATACATTCTTCAGCTATTCCTTTTTTGTCATGTTTAAAGAGTCAGTTTGCGGTGTAAAAATATTATTTTGAGCTCATAAAAAAAATCAACATTGACACGACAAGTTTTATTACTGAGTACTTGTAAACAAAAATATCAACGCCCCAGTGTTGAGTCTTGGTTCTTTTGAAGCCCTCCCTTGGTACTGTAGCTACATTTTATTCTCTTCACATGGGAGGCATACTGTTCCATGTGGTTGGTTGTAAAGAATTGTCCGGAACAGGGCCAGCAGTGGTGTCATCCTGGGTGACAGCAAGGGTGGCCTGCTCTGGCAGAAGTGTGGGGTCTGTCAGGATGGCTGTAGTGGTACTCAGAAGACGGAGGGAACTCAGAACCACTGAGGACGCACACAGGGAATGTGGACAAAAAGAAAACGTTTTACCAAAAAAAAAACCAAAAAAAAAATCAGGACAATGTATTGTAGATAGCATACAATGAGAATGAGTGTAGATGATATATAAACAGGTTTTAACATCTGCTTTGAAGGGGCAGTTATACACAGTAACAGACTCACTGGGTCTGAGGGCAGGCAGAGAGCAGTGCTGGTCCAGCCAGGACACAGTGGATCGACACAAATCCTCAACACTGGCAGTGGACACCATTGCATTGAAGGACTCAAACAGTGGCTCGATGATTATACTGAACTGACAAAAAGTTAAGTAAAAAGATTATTGATAAAGAAATGATTCACCTGTGACTGGAGCCTCACACAGAAACACACTTTTAATGTGTGTTTTTTAGGGACAAGGATACAATCCAGAACCTCCAGTTCTGTAGAGTCTGCGCCCGCACATACTCTCTGAACTTCTGCCTCATGTAGTCGAAGCGCTGTCGTGTGATTGGCACTCCAGTGGCCGGAAGCTGCAGCTGACATGCGCTGCAGGAATAGACACACGGAGTCAGCTTTTTAATATGCATTTTAAAACATGACTTTTACTTGAGTTTAACACTCTCTTAATAAACCTGAAAATAAAACCTGAATCTTCTGCTCTGAGTTTGAGACATCAGGACAGGCTTCAGCAGCTTCATTCAACAGCACAAAGGGAATGTAAGAAGCAGATGTAAAATATATGCAACACAGAAACGAGGAGGCAGAATTTCAAGGGTATTTTCCTGCTATTGGATAATTGGCCAATGGATAATACAGTAAATAGGTGCTGGGCTTGTGTCACCTTGATGTTATTCAAACCAGTACAAAGATAGAAGTGGTTAAATTGGTTAAAGATCTTACTTGATGGCAGAGTTGAGGAGCTGGATTTCCTCTCGGAGTCTCTGAGCCTCCTCGTGCATCTGCGCTCTCTCCTGCTGCATCTTACTGATGTACTCTGCCGTCTTCTGCAGGGTGGTGGCCTTGCTGATCTGTAACAGTAAATACCACAACAGTACGCGATCACACCACACGTACTGAGTATCATTGGGATTATAGTATTCCTAAAAGGAATGTAATTTCATATCTTCATGGCAGCGCCTCTCCTCTGAGTACCTTTATGCTGGGCTGAGTGCTGAGAGTCGTCACAAGGTTGTGTAAAGTGTCAAATCCCATTTTGATGTTGAATCGCCTTTTCTGTTCCGCTGAGATGTGAGTGATTCTTCTGGTCTCAGTGTGCTGCAGACAAATATATTTTAGATCTCCAGTATTTCTCATTTTGCACTTCAATAGTTGGAATCTTAAAGAAATACATTTTATGAAATACAAACACTTTCTCCTACCTTACTCAGCTCTCTCTTTCCATGTCCTGAGAAGCCAGACTGTGGAGACTCAGGGTTGGAGACTTTGTCTAAAGGGTTCAGTGATGGTGATTGACCTGGCTGCTCTGGTAAATTAACTCAAATAAACAAAAAATAATTGCAAATATTAAAAAAAATGAAAATACTGAATTTAAGTATAATTTAAGTATTAGCATTCAATAATAAATGTTGTCAGGAAACTTTCTCTGTTAGATAGGACTGTAAAATATGCCGTCAGTTCATACCCCAGTTTCCTTTAAAGATAAAATAAAGATCTGATCAAATAAAGAATCAAATATGAGATCTCAAGTTTTAAAAGTTTTACTTGCGAGCAAGGAGTGCAGAACAATGATTACATTCAGAACTGCACTGAGGAACTCCTCAGTGCTTTAGGCTTAAATACAGTTATTTTACACACACACTTCAATGGTCAGCCCCCTGACCCTTTACAGCCATGTGGTGTTCATGCGCCACTTCTGAGCGCTGATTGGCAAGGGCTGCTCCAAACAAAAATTCTCCACCAATAGGAGCCATGTGCATGCACTGCAGTTAATCAAGTCAGATAAGACCATGCAGTTCGGATGTTTTTTCTCTCTTGGTCTACTTTTGGTCTCCTTATTTGGGCAAAGAAACTAGTTCAGGCCAGTTCTGTGTCCTGTCTCTATCTCCAAGTGTAACAGTCAGTACCATTCAGTGCTGTACATATCATCCTGTTATGTAAACCATCAGCATGCACACCTTTCTGCAGTACTTTCCTTTACAATAAAAGTATTCACAACACCTTAACAGATGCACAGTTCTTTGACTTACCAGACATGGTGCTCCTGTCTGTGCCGTACAGCTGTACAGGAGACAACTTCTCTGTTTTAGGAATTAGGGGGACTGTGCTGGAATGAATGGAATCCTTGGTGAGTAGGTTGGACATCACAAATTCCTTTGTGGTGCTGGCCTGGGACCTTCTGTGAGTCAGCGTGGGACTGGGGCTGTGTATAGGTGTCAGCGTTGACATCCCCGGAGGCCAGATGGTTCCATGCTGCGATGAAGAGTCACCGACATGCGGGCAACTGCTACTGCTGCCTGGCTGTGATGTCGACCTCTGACCTTTGACTGTCACTAGAGTCGTATCCGGTCCAAGTGCTGGCTTCCCTGTGAACACAAGTGAAAAATCAACTGAATGACCTTTTTGCGGAAATAACTGACAAATAACTGACAAAAAACTGACAAATAACTGACAAAAAACTGACAAATAACTGACAAAAAACTGACAAATAACTGACAAAAAACTGACAAATAACTGACAAAAAACTGACAAATAACTGACAAAAAACTGACAAATAACTGACAAAAAACTGACAAATAACTGACAAAAAACTGACAAATAACTGACAAAAAACTGACAAATAACTGACAAAAAACTGACAAATAACTGACAAAAAACTGACAAATAACTGACAAAAAACTGACAAATAACTGACAAAAAACTGACAAATAACTGACAAAAAACTGACAAATAACTGACAAAAAACTGACAAATAACTGACAAAAAACTGACAAATAACTGACAAAAAACTGACAAATAACTGACAAAAAACTGACAAATAACTGACAAAAAACTGACAAATAACTGACAAAAAACTGACAAATAACTGACAAAAAACTGACAAATAACTGACAAAAAACTGACAAATAACTGACAAAAAACTGACAAATAACTGACAAAAAACTGACAAATAACTGACAAAAAACTGACAAATAACTGACAAAAAACTGACAAATAACTGACAAAAAACTGACAAATAACTGACAAAAAACTGACAAATAACTGACAAAAAACTGACAAATAACTGACAAATAAGTGACGAGGGAGGAGTGCGAGTGACTCACGTTCTACCGTGCTGGATGACAGGAGTTTGGCCAGACAGCTAGTGTATGTGAACTGGGGGTCATGTGGAACCACAGAGGGAGTGGCCGTCCTGGCTTCTCCTTTCTTTTGCTTGTGTTTACCTCTACCTCTAACAGCCAGCTGCTCTGGCATTGAGAATCGGTGGGGAACAGTGACAGGGGGCGGAGGTTCTTGGGGAGGGTCAGTCATGGCGTCGGCGTAGCTCAGGGAGTGGCAGGCAGTCTGAGGATACATGTCCAGCGTGTGCGGAAAGCCTTGACCCTGGAGCACAGGGCCTGGAGCCTCAGCACTGGAGGCAGTGTGGGTGATGACGGTGGAGGTCACACCGGTTGTTGTGTAGTAACCCAACTTGTGACACGGCAAGGGCTGCAGAAAAGGAACGCTCGCAGATACTGGCTGCTCAGCACTGGTGCTGAATGCAGTTGGGATTGGAATATTAGGGTACGACTGAAGTCCATATGGAATGGCTTCTGTTCCAATGCTGGATTCAGGGTACTCACTGCATTCCTGGCCTGGTCTGACATGGTCCGGTCGAGTATGAGATGAAGAGGAATTTTCAGATGAGAGACTGGGCTGGTAAAAGTAGGTATAGGTTTTAGTAATTCATGTGTTATTTTGTTTTTGTTTTTGCTCAAAACACATTTAACAGTTGTGACTAGTACCTGGGTCGGCTGGCTGTCAATCAGAGGAGGAGGAGCTGATACAACAGCAGAGGGAACTGCAGTAAATGTTGTGCTGGACGAATTCTCAAAATAGCTGCAATCCGCAAAACCAGTGTGCTCCGTAGTCTGACCTCTGTAGTTCATAAAAACATCTGAAATAATAATAACAAATACAAATCAAAATTTTAATCAAAATTAAAAATCAATCGCTACTGTAGACAGACTAGTACAGACAGACAAACAGACAGACTGATCACAGACAGACAGACTGATCACAGACAGACTGATCACAGACAGACTGATCATCACAGACAGACAGACTGATCACAGACAGACTGATCACAGACAGACTGATCACAGACAGACTGATCACAGACAGACAAACTGAGTACCTGGTATGTCCATGAAATCATCTAAGTTGGGCTGCAGTGGAGTTAGACCTGGCTGAATGATGTCAGCATTGTTGGTATAGGCTGAAAAGAAAAAAATATTAAACAAAAGAAATTATAGAATGAATTCATGCATTATATGAAATAAAAAGTTAAAATAAATATCATCACAGGAAAGCAAAAAGACTGTTTTGTGAAAACCACAACATGTGGACTACTCACTGTTGTGCCTGTCACTGGTCCAGTGACAGGGCTTTTGTGTCATAGTGAATAATGTGTCAGAAATGTCAGACAGGAAGCAGTCCAGGTCGAACATGTGGGCCTCCGCAGGGGCAGCTTCAGCCGCTTGGTACATCTGAGTGGACCATTTCTCCAGGTTGGTCTGATATCCGTCACCCTGCAGCAGAGAACACATAAAACATTTCCAGAGACATTTTTAGAGAAATATGCAAACATCCTCTGTTAAAAAATACAACTTTAAATCAAGCATTAGCACAGCATGTGGATGCATGCATTCTCCTCCAGTACCTGATCAGGTTCAAAAGTAAATCCAAGTCTCTGTTGTCACTAAATAAGAACTCACAGAACAAGAAGCTCTGGGTTTTCCCTCAGTTTAAGATCCATCTTCACTTCTCAGGGTGAGGCTCCGCATTTATAGGGAAGCACAGGTTGAGCCGGAAACTGTTTGATTACATCTGAGCACACGGCAAGGTCTGCTGTAATTTATTTGTTTACCTCTCAATTTGTTTCATTTGAAGGAGGAGAATATAAGTGAAAACAAGTCAAAATGAGGAAAGACTGTCTGTGTGTGTGCATACAGAGCACCACAAAAAAGCACTTCTGACGTATTATTCAGAAAAATTAGCCTCTGCGGGTTTTCATTATGTTGTCTTTGTTCCTTTCTTTATTTTCACATCTCACCATTTCAATAACAGCAGCAGGCTTTTGTCCCTGACCTTATTCTGGCAGTGCTTTCACGTGCGAGCAAACAGGAAGACCCGCAGCTTCTAACAACACAAATAACTGTTGCCATGGGGAAAAAAAACCTGCATGCATATGAGCATCTCCAAATGCATCACTTCCGATGGGCATTTACTGAGAGGCTACGGTTCAGTGAATGGTGGAGAAATAAATCAACTGAAGTATCTGTGTCATGTCAGCAAATACTGAGATAGATCATAAAAAAATACAAAAACTTTTTGGATTAACTGCTATATATGCTATACTATAATTAAATGAAATAATTAAAAATGTTATATATTTATGTAAATAAAACAGCGTTTCTATTTCAGCTATTACTACCGACCAGTAATATCGCACCATCGTTGAAGGATCATTCAATTTTCAAAATAAAACATCTTTCAGACTTAATTCTGTCAGTATCAGAGTCTGAATGACCTTTTGTTTTGAAACATCACCAGATTAGCTTTAAATGAAAAAAGTAAAGGGATATGACTGGTCCTCAGACCAGGGGTTGGGGACCCCTGGTCTGAGGGATATCCCAGTTAATAATGTAGCCCAGACTGTGCATCACACCACAATTAATACAACTTTGACTGACAACTGAACAATGTGGCACAGATACTGTCACTGGACTTCAGCGTTATCAGTCTTATTGAGTAGTACACTGTTCAAAAGACTCTGTAACAGTCCCATAATATGCCAAATGTGAGTTGATAACGTGCTGCACAAAGTACAAGTACTTTATGAATACACGACGAGTGTGAAGACAATTCAGCCAATCCAGTTTTTACATTTAACTCTGACACCTTAAAACCATCATTTTACATAAACAAATACACAATCACAAATACTACCATAACAACAAGGTTTTTGTTTGGTCTGTTCCTGAAAGTAATCAGTTGTTTACAAATCCAGATGAGATTGAGATCCAGTGACCTTTGAACTGGTGTTACGTAGTACGTGTTGACAGTACAATAGTGCAGACACCCTGAGACACCCAGGAACAGAGGGAAATGTTCCTCTGTTGGATTTTAAATTGTTTAACGTTGTTAGATTGTTTTAATTTTGAATTGATTCCTTGTCTCTGTAAGTCTATGACATCATCAGTGCCTGATTAATTTACTGGAAAATTCTTGGTGGGTTTTTTTTTATCTGCAGCTATAAAATGTCATGACGTAGGAGCAGAGCTGAGACCAGCAGAGGGAGGTTGGTTGGGTTTTGTTAGTACGTAAACAGTCCTGTGAATGAGGGGCTTCCTCCCCCGTGATGCCTTCCTCCTCCATCTGACTGACACCCTGCTGCTGACCACTGAACAAAGAGCCAGTGAAGTGGGTCAGATTTGAATAAAAGACATCGATTTAATCCTGGAGCAAATTTGATCCGTCCAAGAAAGTCCAAGAAAAAGGAATAATATATATATAGAACTCTAAATTGTTTTAATTGATCAACTGATTAATGCTTAAAAACCAACCAATCTGGATCCAGAATTTCAGATCACACACTTCTATAAGGCTATGGAATACAAGTGTTGTCCTACCTCATGTAGCATTGTCAGAATGTCATCCTTCTTTTTATGGAGCTGCAGAGAAAAAGGACCATTACAGAGTGGTCTGAAAACGTCATACTTTAGCAGCAGATGATGTTGTTGTCTACTGATTTCACCTTAATTATATTATATTATATTATATTTATTTTGGGTAATTAATAAATCCCTGCATCTTAAAATACTTCAAAAATAGTCAACCTCACCCTCTTCTTGTGATAAATCCTCCACTTGTGGTACTCCTTGATCACCACCTCAATCCTCCTCTTCCAGTAACTGCCTTCCAACACAATTGCCTGTTAATGTGAAGCAGAGCAAACTGTACATTAATAATATAATAGGTCGAGTTACTTGGGTTTTAGTTTTTACTTCATGTCTGCAGCACAGTACAGTATATATCGAGACTTAAAAATGGAAAGGATACAGAAAATAAAAAAGACCAACTCCACTGAAAAATGAGCAGCATTTACTGAGTGCTCTCTCTGGTTTATGCCACAACACAGACTCACTTCAGGCTTCCGATGGGCATCAGCTTCTGAAGCCTCCAATGGCGTGACGAACCCACACAACGAGCTCTTCCTCCGTTCCACGTCTTGACACACCAAACACAGAGGAACGGTAATTGAGATAATTTAGTCACTTGGTTATTAATTATTGTCACGTCTCTTTATTTTTATTCTCTATATTTTGTCGATTTATGTCAAGAATTTAGTTCAGAGAAGAGTTGGTCTCACACTGAATGAACCATGCCCTCCAGATGGCGTTGTTCAGGCGAATCTTGTCTCTCCACAGCAGGCGGAGCCCTTTGAAAGACTTCCACTTTGGTGAAACTATCTTCCCACTGCAAATTTAAAAAAGATGTTATAAAGCAGGATTGTTTACATTACCCTACTAATATAAATGCACCAAAAATGAAAAGGAGAGATGAAAAAAATGGGAAAAAAAATGGAAATCTGGAAAATACGCCCAATATTTTATGTTGATAAATGAGTACAATTTGCTGGTGAGTAAGTAGTATTTGCCAAAAAGGTGAAAGGGCAACTTTAGGATAGAGTGCCGAGAGAGGAATTCTGTATGTGAAAGTCAGGAGTGGCAGAGAAGTATGTGTGGGACACTGAGGACATATATGAATCCAAGGTTGAGGGAAGGGAACAGGAAACCCTGTGTCCTTAGAAGGTGGTTTTTTAATAAAACAATATCTTAGTCTGGTTGTTATGGGCAGCAGATGCATATTATAACAGTATTTGCCTGCAACGCAACAGTCCTGGGTTCTTAGCCTCTGGTCCTGGTACCTGGTCAGGCAGCTTTACATGAAAAAGAATGGTCTCTTCAACCATTACAGGCATCACTGAGAAGAAACTCTTCAGCTGTGACTTTTGTACATGGAAAAACAGACAGTAGTGTTACTGGAACATTAGTTAAAACCCTGTCCTGACTGAGACCAACGGTGTCTAATGAGCTCATTTATCACTACTGAGCCTAATGTGTCGCCCTCTCCACCAGTGACCTTCGGCTGAGGAGAGGCCCATCATGTGAAAACCATAGGAAGTTGCTAGGAAGCCAGAGGAGATCCCTTTCATCAGGGTTGTAATGGTGTGACACAAATCAGGACAGCAGCTCACTAACACCAGGCTCTTATCTTAGAGACCACTGTTTACACACACACACACACACACACATTTTACCTGCTCTGATGTTGTAGGATGTAGGACCTGCTGGTAACTGTGTGTTTGTGTTAGAATTTATGTAATGAAAAATATGCCACAACACAGACTCACTTCAAATATCAAATTGACTTGGAGCCAACTGTTTATGGCAGGCGTGGGCAAACCCGCGAGCCACAGTGGGTCCTAAAGTTCATCAGGGGGCCAGCTCAGGAGCATATCGATGGTGTTCATGTGAACTAAGATAAATGATTCATAAAAGTCATGCAAAAAGGCTAAAATGCTTTTAGCCTTTCATACGCCATCTAATGGGGAAATGAAGGCAGTGCAGGGAAAAAAGGCAGAAGTATATTGATAATTTAAATAAATAATATAATTCGGACAAGTTTGAAGGGCCGTTAAAAAAGCCAAACAGGCCACATCTAGCCCCCGGGCCATAGTTTGTCCATGCCTGGTTTCTGTTAAACTTTCACATTTGTAGATGGTAAATCACAAGCATTTATCTGTTTAAAGTGTGTTTAGAAGATCTCAGCTATTTGTTCGGCCATAAGCCACAACAAACCAAATGTAGCAGTTAAAATAAGTGTTTGGTCAGAAACAACATACATCACAGCTGAGGCTTTTTTCCTTTTCCTCTGTTACACTATAATCCTTTCTGCCAACTAGAATCAAAGTCCAGTTTTACGTGAGGTTTCCAGGCTATTGCACAAGAGAGAAAATCCCACTTCTCACCCATTTATTCACCTGGAGCTTCACCCCACCGCTGCACTTTACGAAGGAAAATGTGCTAGGATCAAGTACGGATATTTTGATGATTGTACTCTGTGTATTTTTTCTCCTTAAAGCACACAAATTTGAATTATTGTAATGGTAGATCTAACAACAATCTAAATTTGGGTGTACAGAAATTAAAAAATAAATATATTAGTTGTCAATGTGAAAATATCATATTACATTTCGTTTCCACGAATTCCTCCATGTATTAAAACCTCTAAATCATGTCCTCACATGTCCAGCTTTGTTCACAAATAAATTGTATTTGGATTACTGTCATAGATGAGCAGAAAAAGTATGACAACATACTTACATTTTTTTAAAATAATCCTATTTATATACAAAAATGACACTTTCAGCAAAAATGACGTTTTTACAACGTTTTTATAATTACTCCGTTAGAAAATTCATCACAGTCATATTGTTAAATAAAATCCTATTGTATCACTTCAAACATTAGGTTTTGTATGGCTCCAGACCAGCAGACAGAGACACCCACCTGTAGGCCAGGGACATGCACTCGAACAGGCGGGTCATAGTCGGGTCAATGCTCAGGCTGCCGCTGCTCAGCGGACCGAACCGGTACGTCTGACACCACGATCTGTTCACCGTGTCGAAGTCGTATCTGAGGGAACCGCCACTTTTCCGACGCCGCGCAGTGGAGTCGCTGTGCGGGGACGACACCATGAAGTGCCCGCTGTGGATGACCTGGGAACGGGGGAAGGTGGTGTTGGAGGGTCCGGTAGCGAACACCGCGGAGGGCTCCACGTCCGGCTCAGAGTCCGAGGAATCCGGCAGCTGGCTCCTAGAGGTGCCAGGAGACACTCCGGACTCTTTATCCGCCATTCTGTCGGGGACTGTCTCTGACCACTTGTCTTGCAAACAGTGACCTTTGCCCTAAGCTGACCCTTGTCTCCCTGCTGCTGTTCGCTGTAGATATTGCAGTTTCTTCAGACAAACATGATCCGGGTCACAGCTGCTCCTCTCTGCCCAGGACTGTTGAGTGGACTGTTGAGCAACAGCAGCAAACTAATATTTCGTCAATTATTAACAGAGCAGTTCCACTATGGAACGTGTTTTTTTTTTACATTCACTGATTAGGAGAACAACAACAACAATAAGCCAGTGTTGTTGATTCATTGTTTTTATACCGAGAAGTTTCTTTGTATGGAGATAACTGTAGCCCTCCTGCCCTTAATGGTCAGTTATATGCAATTATTTCATTATAAACACATTTCTGACGCCATTTATGTTCAAGCCATGCCTCCGACTTCAGTAACATGTTTATAACCACTGCAGATGTCACACGCTGTGGACACATTAACGACCTCTGACCCCACAATCAGAGATTACAGGTTCATTTTCTTTCATTTTAATTTCACTACTATTTTAACTGTGCAGTGCGTTAATTACGTTTGATTATATATATATATTTATTTATATAATATTTAATTTATTCCTTATTTTATTTCACATTTCTTAACTATTGTACGTGAATAACTGCTTTGCCTTTTCCCTGATGTTATTGGGTTGGTTACATTCATGTTGCTGCTGTAACAAGGAGTTTTCCCTTGTGTGATCTTATCTCTTAATAATTAAAAATTATTATAATTATATTATTATTATACATATATATAATATATTTATATTATACATATAATTTATAAGAATTGTCTCTTAACATTTCACCTATTATTTTAACAGGCCACACCAATAAAAAAAGCTAAAATTTCCAACATATTTCCTTCAGCATCAGCACACAAACCCCTCCAAAATGCACACATTTATATGAAACACAGTTTAATGAACACAAACCTTCCAATTTGGAAACACATACATTTAACATGTAGAACTTGTACTGTTGGTTGTAGTCGGAGAGATCAAATCATAAAGACAAACCATGGGTGGACATTGACAATAAAGCTCAGGAGGAGCTCAGGACTGGAGGAGGAGGATATGAAGTCACTAGCGACGTGGCTAGCTGACATAGACATTGTCATCAGTCATTACTGCCAGGCAAATAAGTTAGTGCTTCAACAATTTAATTTCATATAGGAACTGATGTCCAAATTTGCAAAAATGTGTCTTAAAGACAGGTGAAAGTGACTGGCGTCTAAATTCAGTTACATTTGACAAAGCCTTGGAGATCTTCCAGGAATTTGATGTACTCTTGATGCTCCAGGGCTGTGCTCAACTCAATCAGCTCGTCTGCGAAGGTGTTGTCAACCCCACGGTCGGCCAGGAAGTCCATTAAATGGTCATACAAGGCCTGAACACCCAGGAAAGGAATCAGCAGTTAAATAACCACCGTCAGGCACGCCGATGAACGTCACCTACCTTATTTAATAGAGTTATGTGTGTGTGTGCGTGTGTTTGGGGTCTCACCCAGTCCAGAGAGTCTGTGTTGAGCGTATAGCTGGTTTCCTTCCAATCCAAATCCCCCTCAGGCTGAAAACTGACTTCCCGAATGGCGAAGATGTCACTCTCCTCCTCTCCTTCATGGCCGATCTGACATGAGAGAAAAATCAGCTTGTACTTTTTTTTTGCTCTACAATCTTCCTTGAACGTACTTGGAGACTTGCTGCTGCAAATATTACGAGTATCTTACCTCATCTTCAGGGAAATGGCAGTCAAACACCAGGGGATGTTTCGCTGACTGTTTTGTTACTTCAACAACAAAGTTAGGCGAGGACACCATATCTGGCTGGAAAGAGATACCATTTTAGCAGTGTTAGTATTAATCATTTAAAGTTTTTAAAAAAAACATCTTTGACAAAATTTCTTTAATATTAATTAATGTTTTAGTCCTTCAACATGTCTGACATTGACAGCCTCACCTCTTCTTCTGCTGGCTTTTGCTGTCCTTCTGCTTCCTCCTCAAAATTCGGAGGAATACTGTTGTTGACGTTGAATGTAACAGCGATTCTGTGTTAAAGCAAAAGATATCGTGAGCTCCGGCCTCGTTCCGTTTGTGTTTGCTGAAGAATGATGGACAGCCATGCTGACTGATGCAACTTACTTTTCTCCAGAAACACTTCTGACCAGCTTTGCTTCTGTGCCATTTAACTCCAGCTCCCATCCTCCTGACATTTTAGGAAGACTTTTTTTTTTTTGAATCTTCTTCTCTTCTTTTATTTCATCAGTCAGGAAATCACCAAATGCTTTGTCACCTGTGAAAACATAACCATGGGCAGCATGAGGTTATTGACATTTAAACTGCATGTAAAAATGGGAAGCGACATTAGTGCCACTTACTGCCCAAAGACAATTATTCCCTACAACAGTTAACAGTTTGAACCAGTACAGAAATGACTAAACATATACATAAAATATATTTCTGTGAATATGACTTAACACCTTGACTGAGTCATTCCTTTAGAAAAAAATGTGAAGAATTAAATCTGTCTAAATACTCCTACCCGGACTATATGAATGGGAGGCTAGTCTCACAGTAGCACCTCCTCCTCTGACAGTGAGAGATGCTGAAGAGAACATAACTGAGGCCTTGAATATTCTCTCTAACCTTAACACTTTAGAAGGACCTTTCGATGTTAGAAACTTCCCACAACAAAAATTAATTAACTTTCGTAATTTAATGTTTACAGAAAATTTTATCAAAGTCTTGACCACATCATTTTAGAAACAACTAATAAAAAGTATTTATGATTTTAAGTTCCATTAAAGACTAAACTTTAATTAAAATTACCTTTCTAGCCATTATGCTCCATTAAAAAAAAAAAAGATTACATCAAACGTCCTATGTAAATTTGACTTATTACTTATTAAACTATTCATTTCCACTCACAATTTAAGCATGGTGATAATAGTTCAATGGACAAAATATAGTAAGCAACACTTTTTTCCTACCCTGTTCTACTGCGTGTACTCATTACACGGGGCATTAGTAAAAGACTAGCTTAGCTTAGCTACTTTAATCTATTACTTCATTAATCACCTTCTGTGTGTAGTCCTCCACAACCACAAGACAACGAGGGCTGGAACACCTTAGAACGGAACAGTTTTGGCTTAAATCCTGACGAGGACCCGTTGCTGCTCAGCATGGACAGTGACCGTGTGAAGGGCCGAGTTGTAGTCGCGCTGGGAGAGCACAATGTCGGCAGGCTGACTGGTAGAGCTCTCGCTGTGAATGTGGAGGCTGAGGAAACACGGACCGCGGCTCCCACCGCCCGGACAACAGACTTCAGCATGTCTGCGGAAATACTGAGATATGTGAGAGCTCACTTTGGTAGTCTGTCGAACTGAAGACCGGGACGCTTCCCTATGGTGCCGGCTGCTGTAATGAAATGTCAGACACACGTGTGGAAGGACACATTGACCTGCTCTAACTTCGACCTCTACACCGGAAGTAGTTTTAAAAAGGATAAAAAGAAAACAAATTATATTACGTTTTCATCACATTACTGCGTACAATCTAACACGAGATTAATCCCCGTTTAAAAATAAAAGCAAAAATATTTTATAAACGCTGCCAAATGACTCAGCTATATAGCGTCCTCTTCAGTCTTTGACGTCGAATTGCAGCTTTGACCTCACTTCAGACTAGAAGGTCACGTATTATCCATCCAGCTAAAGGCTACCACCATACCGACTCAACCATGGATACGTTTGTGTTGACAAGAAAATCAAATAAAGATGAATAATTAAATAAGATATAAAAGACGTTTGGTTAGATAATATGTGCAACTATCCACGCCTAAATATTGTTAAATAGGTTTAGAGTGCACACAGTAATAACAAGTCAGGATTTTATGTCAGTTTTAAGTACTTTTGAGCAGAGTCTGAGGAAAATCCCAGTGTACTTTACTCCTACTTCCCTGGGCCCGGGACAACAGACCTGTTTGTCTCCCCCTATCGGTGGGTATGCTCTTTAACCATAACAGTAAAATGCTCTGACAGAGTGAATTAATTTCTTTTTATTATTAATATTATTGCAACTTATGACTATAATAAATTGTGTTAAAATTATACCCAAAGTAAAGTTTATGACAGGACATGCAGAACAATTCACTTTGCTTTGAGAAACAAAAATCTACCCCGTTTCATGTGCAACACATTTATACCAAATCTGGCATATCAGTCCTTTAATTACAGACACATTTAGAAGTTTAAAAAGTTACAAATAATCTGTTCTTTAATTTGCAGGTACCAATATACACTGTACAGTCCTGAGACCAGTTTAAAAAAAGGCAGGAGTAGCATTTGTTTCATTTTCTTTCCAAAGATTGTGACTGATATTCTACAAATATGTAGACCTGAGGGATCAGATCAACTACAATCTTCATGCATTGCATCCGGTTGTTGTCAGCATATACATCTGCAGTGACGACTGAGCAGGACGTCAGTGATGGCTCTGTGCAACAGGATCATCTCAGATAATAAAACATGCCTTTTGCTTTTAGCGTGCGTGTACAGTGTTTGTGGTAATACAGGTGGGAAAATGGACATGCACAAGCACCGTATATGTCAACTTTGGTGTTCTCTTCCTCACTGAAACTGATACAATTATTTATCACATGCTTAAACCCCACTCTCTTAGAAATATATATATAAAACCTAAGAACCTTTTTTGTATAAATCCTCTAAAAGTTACTCTCTTACAGCAAGTAAGAGAAGTGAATCTACCTCAGTGGGAAAAAAAAGACAATTTTTGTAACATTTTGTAAAATTAATTTCAATTGAGGAACATTAACAGACACATGCTGAACTCATCTGTGCCTTTAAATATATGCAGAGGTCAGAACTAAATGCAGAAAATGATTTTGTGTACATTAAACTGGACTGACCAATGAAGCTGAATGGCAATACAAATACTGTGAGGCTGAGAAAAACTTGATTTTTTGTTATTACAATCTGAAAGAGGTCTAAAATGTTGTGAAGCCTTGGTATGCAGATTTTGGCTGCAACTTCACATGTCAGACGTGTGTGAACTCAGAGGTAGTGAAATCCAAGAAACAGAAAATGTCATCTTCTTAATTGCAGTACAAACATTATCCTAATTTAGCAATAAAAATGTGTTGGTTAGCTCTTTGTGGGGCGGAGCTTGCGGCCAAAGTACTCTGGTGCTGCGTCCAGTAGCCAGTCGGCGTCCACCAAACAGAGGTCTCTCATGTAGCATCGGGACGTGTGCAGCAGCTCATTGAAGACAACGTATGCTGGCTTTGACTGGAAAAGTACAGAGGAAGGATGGATGGCCACTGGCTGTCGAGTGTCCAGAGCCAAGTAGCTGCCGTCTGGTTGTAGCTCAGCAGCGTTGACGAACATACCGTGCGCGAGGCAGCGGCGAATGTTCTCTGTCTCTGCCCCACACGACTCCAACTTTAAATTGAGCTGGAATGACAAAACATCTGTTTTTACTTTCTAGACAATTTAAAGATCTGGCAAATGTTTTAAATGAAGTACAACATCGCTTTTGTTTTTTTAGCTTTTCACAGAACATTCACATCGTCATTCTAGAGACAGTGGTGAGGTGATTTATAGACATGTACCTTCAAGCAGATTTCTCTAAGTTGTGCCTGGACTTCTTTCACCAGACCCATATTCCTGTTGTTAACAAAATTCTCCCGACACCATTCCTGTAAGAGACATACAAAGGATTAGTTCAACAAGATCCCACTTTAGATTAGGTCTATAACCACATTCCTCAATAATCTGGTTATGATGTTGAGGAAAACAAACATGTTAACTCGGTTTGATAATTCAAAAATACCTTAATCAGAAATTGATTAAAAGACTAAGAAATATTATCATGAATAATGTAACTATTATTTCAATATTATCTTATTTGTTTTGGACATTTAAATCTACCTTGTTGGGATAATGGATGTGATGCTGTGATCATTATAACCTAAATGAATGTCACACACTGTATATTGACTTGTTCAGATGCTTTGTTACCTTATTTCCGCTGACTTTCTTGAACGCTCTGTAAATGTTGAGGAGGGTCATGTGGTCTCCTTCGCTGGAGATGAACTTCTTGCGTGCTGCCAACACCTCCTCTCGCCGGGCTGGGGGGTTGTAGAGAACAGTATCCACTGACAGCAGCGAAACGATGCTCAATACCTCCTCAGAACAGGAGAACTCTGGAGACAAAAGGATCGTCTGCAAGACAAAGCAAAGGAGGTAAAATAAGAGGTGAAGTCCTTTTAAAGTTGGCTAGAGATGTGGCTAAACAGACTTAGCTTAGCTATAACGCTATAAAGCTTGGTATTGGTATTTGAGCACAGCAGTCCACGACACTTTTTATCACAGCTGTCTTTTTGCCACAATGCTTTAATACAAGAGGGCTTCTCAAACAACTAACTTATTTATTTTGAATTTTTTGTCATTGTGACACAGCACCAGCACATCACCATGGCTTTAACATTCTTTTTTTTCTCAGTACGCTACACTATCAAATATAAAATCTTTCTACACAGTGGACAACAACTTATGCAAATATCATAAAACATTTATCTGACAACATTATGTTTCACCTTTGCATATCGTGGCTCTAGGGGAAAGTTTGCCATCTTTTTTCCCAAGGCGGTGAGAGACACCTGCTCCTCCCTCCTCTCCACAGCTCCCAGTAGCTCTAAATGATCCACAGCAGAACGAACGGCCTCTGCAAAAAAATAAATAAAAAAATTAAAAATCAGGTCATGATAATGACTCCATTCTGTCATAATGTAAAAAAAAAAAAATCATCCCAAAAAAAAACATTCAAAAGTGGAGAGCCTTCTGCACAGCCTCTCAGAGCCTCCAGCTAGCTTTGGTCCCTGACGACCACATTATAAACATGTCATTTTAGTTTAACACATCATCAACCGACGCTGACTTGTGGTTACGTGATTATCTCCCATAAATATATTAAGATTCATATTTTTTTTCTCCCTCACTGCCTTTTTCCATTGATAAACCTACAAACACTGGGATAAATCTACTCTGTGGTTTTCTTTTTTAGAACATGAAAAGAAGATCTGGAGGAAAGAGGACGAGGACAAGGATCAGATTACTAATTCTGACTAGATGTACAGGATGCATTTTAACAAAAAGCATCCATTATCAGGTTTCTGTTTTAACACTTGTCATTAGATGATGTCCACTTCTGAACAGCTTGTGAGAATGAAGGGTTTGGTTGACTGCACTGATGAATTACTTAGTGCCGACCACAAACTGGCCGTAGAGCCTTTTTATTGCCGGCTCCGAGGAAGGACTTCCCCTTTTGGACTTTTTTACCTTTTTTACACCTGAAGACTTACTTTCCTAAAAACATAAATACCTGTGAAAATTCTTACTCAGCCTCCGTGAGCAATACAATACAACACAATGTCATGCCATGAGATGCAATACGATCAATATGAAACTATGCTAATAATTTTGTTGTCAGTTGTTATCATTTTGAGTATTTTCTCTAGTGGTGTCTCATTTAACAGGGGTTAGAATACAGTACTTAAGGTAATCCAAATAAAGTATTAACATTAGGGTTAACAGTCATTTGGTTTACTCAGAGTAAAACAGGAAATGAATGTCTCATTTTCTCCTAATGTAAAATTGATGCTCTGTCCTGCTGTGGTCAGCGCTGTATATGGGTCAGTGTCATTATAGAGCGACACAAACATCATCCCTTCTCATTCAGGTGGTAATGGGGCTAATGATCAATTATAGGAGGAGCACAGTGATTCATGATCTCTAACCATCTTACCTGGAGAAGGCTTGGACATGAAATCAAAATTCATCACATCTGGAATCCCCAGCGCCATTAGCTGCAGCATCACACCAGCCAAGTTACACCTGCAGCACACACAGCGCAGGGGAACAGGCTCTTAAATCACAGTGACCTGAATGTATCAACAACGAGAAGCGTCTCAGCACACTCAGTCTACTCAGGTTTACACCAACCTCTGAATCTCCGGCACAGTCATGGGAATGAAGTTGTCGAATTCTTGCTCAGTGTAGAGGCGGTAGCAGGAGCCGGAGTCCTCTCTGCCTGCTCGGCCCGCTCGCTGCCAGGCCTGTGCTTTAGAAACACGCTGCACTGCTAGCACCTCCAGACCACTGTCTTCAGAGTCACACAGCACGTGTGCATTAAGATGAGCACAAATAAACCCAGAGTGAATAGAGTCAGGTCTTAGTCTTACCAGGACTGAAGCGTTTGGCCTTCACCATCCCTGTGTCTAAGACATATTTGATCCCAGAGATTGTCACTGATGTCTCAGCAATGTTGGTGGACAGGATGACTTTCCTACAACCCTGGACAATGTTAAGAGGAAAAAACACTAAGCATGGCTACAGCAGAAAAAGGGAATTCATCAAATGAAGAAATACTTTCTTTATACGTTTATATTTTTGTGCACACAGTCAGTTACCTTCTGTGCAGGCTGGAAGACCCTGAGCTGCTGTGCTGGGGGCAGTGAGGCGTACAGAGGTATGACTACCATGGGGCCACAGCCATCGGGCAGATGCTTGGCAATGTCCCGACATGTCCTCGCCAGAGCTTCGATTTCCTCCTGACCCGTCATGAAGACTAAGATATCATGGGATGGAGGGGCTTCCTGTATGGACACGACAAGAGCGTTTTCTTTGCTTCTTAATAGGTTATTAACCTATTATTAACAAATCTGGTTTGGTTTTAGTTGAACAATACCTGATGGATCTGGAACACAGAGACCAGTGCAGCCTGCAGGTAGTCTGACTGTGGCTGTTTGGTGTAGTAGATCTGAATTGGATGTTGTCTCCCCTCCAAGTACAGCACAGGTGACTTGTTGAAGTACTCGGAGAACAAGTCTACATCCATGGTGGCCGACATTACTATGACCTGTGTAAAGAAATGGGATACAAAGAGAAATTAGGTGCAGCATTTTTCTTCTAATATATATATATATATATATATATATATATATATATATATATATGTTTAAATATCTAAATCATTAAATATCTAAATCACATCGAGGCTGATGGAAATGTAATCATCTTCTGACCTTCAGTGGAATCTTGTTCAGTTCTTTACGCCTGCGTTGGGCGGTTTTGACCACGCCAAACAGTACGTCAGTGTGTACAGTACGCTCATGAGCTTCATCCAGTATCACTACAGTGTAGCGCAACAGTAAGGGGTCTCCGATGGCCTCACGCAGAAGCATCCCGTCTGTCATGAACTTCAGCTTAGTCTCAGAGGAAGTGGCATCCTCAAAACGCACAGTGTATCCCACCTGAAAAAATATAATAAAATCATCGAACGTTAGTTCACCACTAACGCACTTGGCATGTGCTTTTGATATCAGAAAGTACAAAGCATTGTCTCCTGTACTCACAAGTTTGCCCAGCTGAGTCCTCTTTTCCTCCGCCACTCTTCCTGCCAGTGATATGGCCGCCACACGACGGGGCTGAGTGATGGCGATGACACCCTGTCGGCCAATGCCGGCCTCATAGAGGTACTGTGGGATCTGAGTGGTTTTCCCAGAACCAGTCTCACCTAACGTGGAGTAAAAAAAATGAAAGAATCCAAAATCAAAACATAATTCTGGTCATGAAGCAATCATCCAAAAAGTAAATTCCCAACTACACACATTGTGATCAGCTGGATCTTCAATCTGCAAAAAAACTACAATATCCAGAACATCCTGCTTCAAAGCACAGATATAACATGCATCAACATTTTTGGACTTTTTTAAATTATAAGATTCAGTAACATTCCATTATCATCCAGATCAATAATAAAATGATGCTACTGTAGTCTAGTATTAATTAATTAGTAGTAACGTAAAATGACTTTTTTAAACAGGTCATCGTGATTTGACATTTTGACAAAATACATATATTTCATGTCTCAGTTAGACTGGCCAGATGACGTAAAGGTTATTTGACCACAACGTATAACCTTCCAAAGAGATGCTGTGAAATTTAACACACTATACCTGTAAGTAATAACATCGATTAGTGGACCTCTGTATAATAAAGGGCAGATGTCACAATATAACTGTGTTCAGGCGTTCAAACGCACAATTCTCTCTGCATAAAGTTCTATCAAAACCTGGACAAAAAGGATCAACTACCAAGAGGAGTGAGCAAGGAGTTGAAGCGAGTCTACAGTCGGTGTGGAAACCATGCCGTGAGTACATTACCTATCCGTATAACATTACCTATCAGAATAGCATTATGAAGCTGTCTCAGTTGGTTCAACAGCTGTGGTTTGGCTTGATAAATTGGAAGCTGTTTCCTTTGTACTTCTATCGGAGTGGCGGCATTCCCCTTCCTAGGAAGCAGCATTCCAGGCTTATTCTTGTCGAGACGAAAAAAAACGGACCCCGGCTTAAATTTTTTAGCCGGAGGAGGGTCGGGGTCGTAGGGCATGGTCTAGAAGAGGTGATCCTGGTGGTGAAATCCTCACAGCGTTTACTTAAGAATTATTTTCTAGCAAAAAGAGAATATAAAAGTTTCCATCGTGCTCACTGACACTCTCACGAGCTCCACTGCGGATGTTTTGCTCTAGCAGCAAAAACGTCACGACGTGCACCACGTGGTTAGAACTCGGCGCACACATGTGATGTCATCGCAATGGGAAAATTTCCCCCGAGTAGTGACTGTCAGGATTCACAATTCCTGTTAATTTCCGTAAAAAAACCTCAAATGTTAAATTATTGTCGTTTTTAAGATAAGATAAGACTTTATTTATCCCATACCGGGGAAATTCACTTGTTACAGCAGCAGGATAGACATATAGTACTAAAAGTAACGTAACAGCAGGGTAGACATAGTATTTACAAGGTGTTTTATTGGACTTAAAACCTCTACCTCTTAATTCTAGAGAACTTACATGCTCTACATCTGTTATGACGTTCTGCTTGACATATGTTGTTAAGCTGTACAGAAAATAAACAAAATGACATGACAGATAAAAGAAAGATCCATTTGGCATCTTTGTTTGTTCTAGATGTTTATAATACTTTCTATAATAAATCAATTTTACTTTTAAATAAATGTCAAATGACTAGGTACAATTAAATTAATCAAACTATCTGTATTTTTTTTATTGTGCATCTTGAAACTTATCTTTGGTAAAATGCATGTCCAGAAACCTTTAATTTTGCTCAATTTTACTCAAGTTTGTCCCAGAAGGGTGAAATTAATGAACTGCGGAATCTCGTGAATAACGTTATTTAAGTTTAGTTTCTAATAGAATTGTTTGGACCTGAATTTCCAACAAAACTTCAGGAATGCAATTAATCTTTAAATTCTTACGATCTGTGTCTGCACACAGAGTGATGATTTAACATAAAAATTGTTGTTAAACTGTGACATTAAGGAAAAATGATTTTTAAAAAAAAACAAATACAAATGTAATGTAACAAATACATGGACCGTTTGTTGCCAGCCAATAGGTTTCTATCGTCTCCCAGCACAAACAGGAAGCGCGTGGTGGTGGACATGATAAGGTCTGACTACCCAGGAGGAGGAGGAGGAAGAGAAGGAGAAGGAGGTCCATTAAGGTCCAGCACTCCTGCGGCAGCTGTCAAGTTATTCGTACAAAACTAACTTTCTCCAAACATTACTCAACCACTTCTGAGTAATGGTTACACCAGGAAGTGGTTTAATATTTCAAAAGAAATAGAAATATCAGGAAGATGGCCCAAGATTGAGAAATTTGTGAGAAGAGAGAGCGTGAGAGAGAATGAGAGAGAGTGAGAGAGGGAGGGAGGAGGAGGAAGTCAATTACCCCAGGATTTGTTCTTCATGAAGCACTTTGAACGTCACTTATAAGGGAGAACAGAAGAGCTGTGGTGCTACTGAGGAAGACGACAGAGACAGAGAGACAGAGACAGAGAGACAGTGAAGGCGGAGTAAAGACAGAGGATTCTGGCTGTTCAACATTCACCAAATGCTCATGAGGTGAACTAGAGAGAGACCCTGGTCTCTGCAGCTCAGCTGATGAGAGAAGATGAAGAGCCAAATAACCAGTGCCATCTCTGACTTCTTCCTTGAGTATGAGACCCCACGCCAGGTGTTGGTTAAGAACAGGAGGGTGGGAGTGGTGTGCCGTCTCATCCAGCTGGGGGTCCTGGTGTACATTATTGGGTAAGGCTCACATGGCTTTCCTTTTTTCTTTTTCTTTTTTTTTTTTTTTTGATGCAGAGTAAGGATGTTTTTTACCTGGATTTTTCAGCAGATTTTAGGTTGTGATGTAGGAATGGCATCTGTGTTTTGTTTTGTTTTTTTATCTGATTTGGATAATACAAAATAAATATTACTGCTTCCATCTGCTTGTATGCACTGTATAATTAAGTTAATGATTTGACATGGTCTGATGAGGGAGTGTGTAAAGTGACTAACCTGGGATGACAAAGGCATGTTACTAAGAACTCCGGACAGATTACGGTTTATACTTGTCCTTTTTCAAGTTGAGGCAAAAAGCAGCGTGTTTGTTATCTTACGCATTCTCAGCCACGCTCTGCCTCCACACACGTGCTTCGACATGCCAGAGTCCTTCACCAGAGAAGGACCAGCGGGCTGCGTTACCTCTTTAGGATCTGGTATGAGAGGACCACTGGTTCTCATAAGGACCTGTGAGACCTGGTCTTTATGAGGCAGAGCCCCTTTTTACTCTAGCCTTGGTTGAGGTCAGTGGTACGATAGCCAATCTGTGGTATCCTTCACAATCCAAGCCCCTGCACTTATTGCCTTGCACTTAACGTATTGACATCCGAGCAGCCACAGCGTTGGTAACCTCTCTGTCCATTTACATGTCGTACATAGAATAGAATAGTCTTTATTGTTTATTGTCAGATGTAAACGACTTTACAAAGAAAAATCCCTCTCTGTTTTCATCATTTCATTCCTTAACTTGTGAGTGTTATCTCTGCGCTGAGAGGAAACGTTTTTATTTTTATTTTTCAACGTTCTCTTTACCATAGATGCACATCCAGCTGAAGATGAAGTATTTATTTAATCAAATTCGCTGTCATTTTGAAACTGTCTTGAAACTGATGGTTTTTTTGGTAGAAGGAATGAAACTCAAAGTCTTTGAGACAGCCTCCCCCCTCTTTATCGCTTGTCCACTGGATGTGTGTTTGTGTGTGTGTATCTGCACATCTGATCAGCAGAACCTCAGGTGCTGCGTGAGCCGAACACGCTCAGGCACATGCCAGCAGAGATATAAGTCATCTGCTGCCTGACCCAGCAGGAAAAGACCAATCAAACAACTGTTTGTTTTGCCTTTTGTTTATTTTTGTTTCCCCCTTCTATCTCTCTGTATTTCCTGTTCTGTGTTTTAAAAACAGCGATGACTTATTTAAGATGTTTCACTGCCTTGCAGCTGTTGTAGAGCCTTTATCTTTAGGAATAGTTCTTTAATTGCAAAATAATATTTGGCTTTTGTTGGTTGTCACACCAACAAAAGAACAGTGATTTACTAAGGCAACTCAGAAAGACTCATTAGTCAAAGCACAATTCTATTAATTATTGTATAATTATATTTATTTCTTCATCTTCTTTATCAACTTTTAAAAAGATAGCATAGATCAGTTGATTTCCTCTGCTTTAATTTTTTGTTTTTACAAAATGATTACTGCTGCAATCGGCGTGCCACATTGTGGGGGAAAAAAAGGAAAGCCTTGAGAGAATGAATTGACGAACTCCCCCTCATGAATCTCCTTCTGTTGAAGCAGATAAAGATCGTACAAACGCGGCTGTTTCTTCAAAGATCCCTCCATTATTTCAAGCTCTCGTCTGTTCGTGCGTTCTCATTTTCATGCCCATACAGTACAGTGTGTGTGTGCTTCAATAGCTCACACTGAAACTGTCATTAAAATGACTGGTGTCGACAGACTCGTCGCGGCTTCTGTTTCTCTGCTCAACCATGTTTCTGTTTAACTGTTGTGTTAATGTGCTTTCACAATACATCATCAAAAAATAGCTCTGCATGTTTGTGCTTACAGTAACTGTCTAGTGTACACCCTCCTTTGGAGACACTGCATATCCTAACCCCAGTGATCGTCAACTGTCGGTCTGTAGGCCAAATCTGGCCCGCCGAACTGTTTAATCTGGCCCACATCTGGATTCCAAAATCAGACAGAAAACACCGTGTGGTCCCCATGATTAAAGGAACTAAAGAAAAAAAAACAAATAAAAACAAAATGAGACTTAAATAACCGTCAGTAATCCCCACCATTTATCACTAGTATAGCTAGCTATAGCAAACCCTAACCCTCGTCATAACTATGACAAATATATGGCCGGTCCTAATCGTTACCTTCACTCTAATCCGACCCTAATTCTGAACCTAACACCAAACTACGTCTCCACCCCAAGACACGGTCCAAAGAGTCCCACAGAAATATTGTTTTACCAAAATATGGTCCACACAAATACTACCACCAACACACACACACACACAGCAGTTACATAACCACTCATTAATTACGACAATAGAAAGTTCCATTGTACAGAAAGGAGGACAATGTAACGCAAAACTGTCTGCCGTCTGCTCAGTCCTTCTACAGAGAGATTCAATCAAACTAATTAACACAGTCCAACTAACTGTATGTCTCTTCCAGGTGGGTGTTCATCTATGAGAAAGGCTACCAGTCCACAGACACAGCAGTCAGCTCCATCTTCACCAAAATGAAAGGTGTGGGCTACACTAATGTGAACGGGACAGAGAGAGTCTGGGACGTGGCAGACTACGTCTTCCCACCACAGGTAGGCGTCGTCTCAGTGAGGTTTGAGGGAGGAGGTCATGGTCAAATACAGTACATATATTACTTCATCCTATGTGGTCTTCAGAAATAAAGGGCAACGTGATTTGATGTTGACTTCATCAAATCTGATCAAATGTTTAAGGAAATGCCACTCCTGGTCTGAGTGGACAGTGAAGAGTCTCCTGAAGGAGCAGAGTTTCCTTCTTGATCCTTGTTTTTTCTGAGCACTGTCCCAGACGGCAGCAGTGATGAAGCCTTGAAGTCCAAACAGCTCAGCCGATACAGTGTCTCTGTCAATACCGTGCAGGTCATGCCTCTGTTATGAACTGAGCAAACCCTTCCTGTAGAAACATTGTGGTCAAACGTATTTTTTCATTTGTTTGCCTTAAATATTTAGTTATCTCTAACAGGCAGTAGGAAACGCCAAACAAAGGTTGTCGTGTTTGCTGCGAGGCGTGGCAGCCTTTTATTTAGACTGAAATTACATCAGGGTTTACAATAAACCCAATTTACCAGGGGAGAGTTGACTTTGGCGTCACGCCCCACACTTTGATGAGGTAGAAACCAGCCACCTTTCATCTTTACTATGAAATGAAATGGATGGAAATGGTCTGGGCATTATGGGGAGTCCAAAAAACAATTAAGTTAACTAAAAAACAAAAATCTGACCGCCTGAAGAGACTACAGTCAAAATGTACCAACAGTAACTTTGTATCGATACCTGTTTCTCGCTCTGCTTCTACTGTATGTGCATTTATTGTTTTTAACATCTTGTCATCTTGGTCCTAAACCTGTTATTTCAGTGTTAAAATAAACACACCGGCCTCCAGTGTGTGGGTGTCACCTGAACCACACCTGAACCACAGGTGATCAAATATGAAGTGTGAGGGCAGAGACTACGCGACCAATGACAAAAATCAACAGTAATGTGTTTCTTAAAATGAATTAATTAAAACTTTAAGATAAACACTAACACTTTACGGTACAGACCATCTCTTTAGGTACGCAAATATCAATCAATTTTATGAACTGACAAAAACAATCAAAAAAATCCTTTTAATTTTGTATTTGTAGAACAAAGACCTCATACACTGTCGACTGTCTCTGATACAATCAACACCCAACAACGTTACTTTTAATGTCTGATTCCAACCCAACCTTTTCTTTCTCTTCCTATTTGCCAACGTCAGGGAGACTCGTCATTTGTGGTGATGACTAACTATATCATAACTGAAGGTCAGAGTATGGGAAAGTGTCCAGAGGTACGTCAAAATTACTTCCATTTTCACTTCTCTTCTTCTGGCAGATTTTCTATTCCCCGTGTTTTCGTCTGCTCCCGTAAACATGTCCATAAATAGACAAAAAAAAAAGACGAAAACTGCATCTCATTCCCAGATTGTTTGTGTAATTGGGTAATTGTGGCACGATCGCTATGAGGTCGTTTATTGATGAAAAAACTCCAGGGAGACCTTGATGTTTGTATGTTAGAGAGCGTTTACTGAAGACTGAAACACCAGTTTGAATCCATGTGTGACTGACCGCCGTCTCCTGTCCACAACAGCTGAAGGGTTCGCACAACTGCAGCTCAGATGCCGACTGTGAAGGAGGAGGATACAAACGTACGGGACACGGTAAATCCTTATGGTCAGAGAGTGTGTGACCTCAGCCCACCCTCACAGAGAAATGACCTCAGGTCTACACTCACAACAGCCCAGTCCTTGGCTTCCCGCCGTTTGGCTTTGCTTTGCCAGAAACTAAAGCTTTTTCGTAAACATTTTCCAGAGCCAGTGCGAGGACTGGGATATATCTGGGAGGCAGAGGAGAATCTTAGTTGCTGTGTTTAACTTTGTGTTGCTCGTCTTTGTCGCTGCTCATGTAAATATTACTATTTAGAACTAAGAGGGGAAAAAAAAGATTCAAACCAACACGGCGATTCTAAGCAACCGAACTTCTGTGTCGCTTATCGACATCATCCTCGCCTTCAGCAGCCAGACACCAGTCCACTTCTCTGTACTTTGACGATTCATGATAAGAAAGCCATTCATATAAAACCTTTTAATAAGCTCAAACATGAACATTAAAGGGTAGTTCCGTGCATTCATTGCCTGTCCATCTGTTCCAGGAATAAATCCTGCCTGTTTTATGTCTCCTCTGTCCAACATCATGTTTATCCTACAAGTCAAAAACACTTGACCTTGACACCTGACGGATGCCGGTGACAGGTCTGAAACTGGAGCTGATAGCACACAAGACAGGAAGTGGATACAAACCAATCAGATGGAGGAGAAATGAAATATAAGATGAGGACAAGATGACAGTCAGAGCCAGCCTCGTCCCCGTTTTATATCACACTCGCTGCTTGTGACGGCAATTAGAGATAAGGCGACGAGGGGAAACAGGATGTACTGTATTTATATAGAAGTTCTTCTAATGTTCAAGTCTATGTCACATTCTCTGCTTTGCTTTTTCTTCACTCTATTGGATTAATTATTGCTTATTTTTGTTTGAAGGGGAAATGACAGGAGTCTGTGTGAATTCCACCAAGACCTGTGAGGTGTTGACTTGGTGTCCGGTGGAGGACGATCACCACATACCCAAGTACGTGGAAACACTACACTGATACTCGGTGATATTTTAAATCATGCTGTGGTTGAACTCCTTCTCTCCTCCTGACAGACCTGCTCTGTTGACGTCGGCAGAAAACTACACCCTGTTCATCAAAAACTTCATCACTTTCCCTTTGTTTGAAGTTACAAGGTGATTAAAAAAAATTGTTTTGTGACAATTTATCATGTTATGTTCAGCTAGATATTTGAGCTGATGCCAAAGGCAACAGGTGTTAAAATGAACTGAAAATTGAAAGCAAAACAATTGTCATAGATTTATTCTAATGCGCCGTAGTTACAGTAAAGCACGTGTTGAAGTGTATCGCAATAGTTGATGACATTAGTTCCTCAAAAACATTATTTACAATTCCCATTCCCTCCCACTGTTGGCAGTAATACAGAAAAAACGTGAAACTTTTACAGAAACTGCTGTTTTGCAAGAAGAATCAGACTGCAAACCTCCAAACTGATCTGACAGATAACCGCTTTCACTGACAACAGGTCTTTTTAATCTTTACCAGTAATATTTGATGTCCTGTTCCAGGCACTCTCAACTGACCTCTGAACAGTTTCTAATCTTCTGGTCCATCTTAGAGAAGTTGAATTCAACTCACTCACAGATCTTCGTACAGACGCTGACTGTGTCAAACATCAACAATCTCTCATGAATCTGTCCAAATCAACAATTTTGTTGCAGTTGTTCTAAAACTGAGTCAGTAATTGTTCGCACCATGGGGACAGATACCACTAAGGTTTCTACCGATAAGTCTTTCCCCCCCCCCCCCCCCCACTGTCCTTACATAAGGCGACAGTAATGTTCCCTCTGTGGATAACTAATGGTGCGTTCAAGTTGTGCATGAATGTCGGGATTTTCCACTGTTAAACAGACAAACCCAGAGGTATACATGGAAACATGTTAATATATACATTAATAATATTATTAAAGTGCTTCGAGTGGACGTCCGTTCCACATGACCTGTATGACCTGAATGTCCAAACCGTTGTTCTTCCAGGAGTAACCTGGTGGAGGGTATTGACTCAGCATACATCAGCAAATGTCTTTATCATCCAGACGACGCTCCTCTCTGTCCAATATTCAAACTGGGAGACATTGTCAAACTCTCGGGCTTTAACTTCGACCTCATTGCCCAGATGGTAAGTACGTCCAGTGATACATGTATGAGAATCAGAGCAGATTTCACAGCAGCATGTATACATGTGGTTCTTCGTGGAGTTCACCGTCCTTCTGCTGCAGGGAGGCGGCATCGGCATCGTCGTGGACTGGACGTGTAACTTTGATTTGAATGTGAAACACTGTAAACCGACGTACAAGTTCCACGGTCTGTATGGAAACCCTGACGAGAAAGACAATGCCAAAGCCTCAGTGGGATACAACTTCAGGTGAGGAAGGACGGTACGGCAGGAAACAGAAGAACAGATCAGTCACACAGTTTGAAAAAATCTTCACTCCCTCTGAACTTGTACTTAGTGTCACTCATTAGGGTTAGTTGGATGAATTGTTTTAAAGTGTCTTTTTGAACTGGTGCCATTTGTCTTAGTCTCTGATCTTACTGTTTTGGTGTCTATCCAGTTGTTTCAGATGTAACAAGGTCATTCTTTAAATACTGTCTTTTTGAAAGAGTTCAGCCTCAGCACCTCAGCCAGGAGCTGCCTGATAAAAGAGAGAGCGTCCTTATGTAACGTTGTCCCTGTCACAGTAATGTCTTCTGAAAGCTTCTGCCTGAGCGGAGAAGCAGAGTGTTGACTTTATCCTGGAGCGTTTGTCCTTGAAACATCAGTGAAGTGCTGTGTTTCTGGGTCTGTGGTGACTCTGACGGCCACCAAATATTACTTATTCAATAACATTAACACTGACTGAGCAGTCTGGTGCTGACGAAGCTATGACCAGAAAAACTGTTTTGAACCGACTGCAAAGACTTTTTCCTCAATATAATGAATAATAAAAAAAAAAAACATAGAGCAAAATTGTAATTAGAGAATTAAAATGGGCTGCATACCACCTAATTACACGTCAAGTCTGCCGGACCAGTATAATCATAACATAATTAACTACAAATAACAAGTAAAAGTTTTCCCCTTTGTTTTCATGCAAAAAAGTAAAATAATATTAGATATTTGTTATTAATGTAATTATTATTATTTATATTAAATTAATTCTAATTTTACAAAAAATATCCAAATTAAAATTCATCAAACGGGCCAGATTGAACACTTTAGTGGGCCGGTTTTGACCCACGGGCCATATGTTTGGCACCCCTGGTGTAGACTCTACTAAAGGCTTTTATTTTAAGACACTAATACGGTACTCTAAGCTGAGCTCTGATGGGCCACTTAAAATGATGAAGTGGGCTACATTTGACCCAGGGGCCTTGGGTTTGACACGTGTGGGTTTTTTTTTTACTACGTACAAATTCAAATCCCTTTAATGAGTCAATCCAAAAGGACTACCTGTTATTCTTCCCGTACATCAAGCACTCACTAAAACACAGGTAACCTTATTACAGAGCTGCAGCTGTGTAGTGTTTTTCTCTGCTGACAGTCGTACGGTGTAAACCAAGTGCGACTCCGTCAATCTAAATGTTTATTTAATGTCACCGTTCACAGTGGTCTCAAATATTTGAACTGGACTGAGGTGAACCCTCTGATCTGCCCCCTGTAGGTCTGTTAGGTGTAGACTGACTGCAGACGGACCCGCTATGGAGTATGTTTATAATGTTTACTTCCTGTCAGTAAAACCGCTACGTCTGTTCGCCAAGATTTGTCCTAAGTTGACGATTGTTAGGATTCATAGCATGTTTACATTCGCAGCAGATCCAGACGTCACTGACTCACTGTATTATATATGAAATACATTAGTTTGATTGTTGATATTCCCTAACAAGAACACATTTAAAATAACAAAAACATTTTTTCTACTTTTGTATAAAAGTATCTTTCAGTAGTGACGTTTGTTTTTTAAATTCTATTTAATTTTTAGGTATGCAAAATATTACGTGGAGGACAAGATTAAGAAGAGAACCCTTCTGAAAGTGTTTGGGATCAGAATAGACATCATCGTCCAATCACTGGTAAGTCAAAGATTTCTGTTTTCAAATCACATGACTTGATAAAACTTTGATTTGTTTTTTTTTTTCTGGCTCACTTTTACAGGCAAGAAAATTTGATATAATCCCAACCCTGACAGCCATAGGATCTGGAGTGGGTATCTTTGGAGTGGTACGTTATTCATCATGTATTTGACTCGATCATTGTTGTCTTCTTTGGTCTTTGAACCACTAAAACTGTGAAGACCTTTTCTCTTTTTCCTTTTCAGGCCACGGTGGTTTGTGACTTGATGTTGCTCTACCTGCTCCCGAAAAGAGAGTTTTACAAGGACATGAAATTCAAGTACGCAGAGACATACGTTCAGGTAAGGTCAAATGAGTTGACGTAAAAAAATTGAACACAAGGTGGCAACAAAGGTGCCTTCAACAATAAGCCTCAACAACTCCACCCAAGTCACACTACCATTTATATATAGATATATATGTATACATATATAAAATGTGTACATACATAGGTCAGACTTTTTTTCATCCTTTGACTGGGTTTGTGACTTATATGTAAAAATATATTTCACGTTTGTTATTTTCACATTGACAGCCCTTAGAGGGCACTCTAGGCCTATGTACTAGTATCTGCTACTTCTGTACCACTGAAAATCTACATGGTCGTTAGTTTCTCACTGACAGCCACTAGAGGGCGCTCTAGCTGGCAGGTGCGACTTATACTCCAAAGCGACTTTTATATGTTTTTTTTCTTCTTCATTATGCATTTTTGGCTGGTGCGACTCATACTCTGGAGCGACTTATAGTCCGGAAAATACGGTACTTGTAAATGTAAAGTGGGGACATAAAACAAATTGAAGTCCCTTATTCATCTCACAGGGAAATTCACAACCCCACAGGCTGTCACTGGAGGCGCCATTAAATATGTGGTTCTTCTGGGGCTCAAACTCAGAACAACAATTCTAACTAAATGCAAAATGTTGACAAGAAAAATTCCTCTTGGCACACAGTGACCAGATATATATATATATATATATTTTTTTTTTTTTCACAGGATCCTGAGACAGAGCCGGGCAGCATGGAGACAGAGCTGTCAAAGGTGAGACATTCGACCTGTGAATATTTTTTGACCTGATGAAATCAACAAACTGACTTTAACTGGTGGGATTATTTATCTGCTTTTGTTTGGAGAAGTGACCAGAGGACGAAGGTTGAGGAAGATAGACCTGCTTTTTTCAAGATGTCTCGAACCCAGCGTGATCTCTCTCTCTCACACACACACACACACACATACACACACACTGGTAAACAGGCTGTAAATGAACTGTGAATTTTGTGAATCTTTGGACTCCAGCAACCACCGTGCTTATCCTGACGGACAAGGACTTTTGCCATTGTTGGCATAGCACAGCTGTAAGTGTACTTAATTGTGGGTGTAACTAGGTTTTCTTTTGTTGACCCACCGGGTGTAACCTACACCTACTAACTATCTCCAAATATACACTGGTATTATGTCATAAAATTAATTCCAGGACAGTTTCGACACCATTCACCAACATGTCAATCATTACCTCCATCTCTCTCTCACCATGTGTGTTCATGCCAGCTCTACATCAAACCATCCATTGTGTGGACCTAATGATTCCTATACCTACAAGCGTTGTACAGTGATGTTCTATTTTCTTCTTGGGTCTCACAGTGTTGACAGACACGGCCTCAATAATAAATGATTACATTTTGTCCTTTATTGTTATTATTGTATTGTTTATTATGTGTATGTGTACAAAAGCATGCAAAAAATAGTTTATTTATAAGTATTGGTACATATTTACATACATCAACACCTGCATTCCATACAGAGGTGCCATGCGTTGGTTTTTATAGCGAGACGGCGAGAACATTCCGGTAAACGCACGAGAAGTCCAGAAACACGAGGACAACAGGCGACTTGAACACAGCAGAGAAGACGGTTACGTTAAACACTCCGGAGAGACGCTGAACACACAGTATAAACTTTACACACACTCTCTGGTCCACGCACCTCCATGTCCTCATGATAGAATACAAATAACTGAACCAACATGACATCATTCCCAACATTCACTGCTGCTGCAGCAACTCTAACCGGCCGTGTTGAAGTGTAACCAACCCAGCTGCAACACAACGAAGCGCATGGGTCATTAAAAACGAATGAGTCATCATATATGTAAGTAGGGGTTCCCAACCCCCGGTCCAGGGACCGGTGCTGGTCCTTAGGTTATCTGGTAACGGGCCACAGTTAAAAATTCAGTTTTACTAATTTACTTCATTCAAAAAGAATCCAGACATGTCCCTTCACTTTTTCATTAAGGGATAATCTGACAATCTTTGAAAACAAAAGGTCATTCAGACTCTGATACTAACAGAATAAAGTCATTGTAAAGATGTTTTATTTTGAAAATGTAATGATCCTTCAACGATGGTGCAGTATTACCGGTCCGCAGTAATGCCTGATACTGGCTGACCGTGCCTTGGTTAAAAAAAACGCCAACAGCTTCAGGCACTGAGAAAACAAACAGCGACTTCCTCCAATTCAAGCAATTCAAGTTCAACCGGATGTGTACTTCACTAAAAAACTGACAGAAATATCCAAAGTCATAACTAATGCAAAATGAAAAGCTGTCAACGTGAATACTGAATGCAGTGATTGATGGCTGTGGTCTGAAGCTGAACTCAGTTCATCAGTGAAACCCAGAGGCCACGTCCTGAGCTTCTACATCATCAACGTACGGATCGAAGGCATTCACCACACAACATTTTTGTTTGTTTTTTTAGCACAAAAACATTTGTGTTTCCCCCCGAATAACAATAATAAGCAGCAGCAGCAGCAGCAGCAGCAGAGTGACATGCAGGTTGATAGAATATACATCAAAAAAGCACAGGAGAGAGTGAGATCATACAGTTTACAGTTGAACCACAACTTTTTTTGTTTGATTGTAAACTGTACAACGTTTCATGGCAGGGACAGTTTTTTTTTAAAAAAGTGCAAATATTTTAAATATGAGCAGTATTTTACAGTTGAACATCGACGACAAAAACAGATGTGTGAGTGGCACAAAGGCTCTCATTGCATTAAAGTAGGTAAAAAAATGCACGTGGTTAAGACGACAACAATATTGCACTTTTTGACAAAACAACAATGACAGAAAATACCATTAAATAATTTTTGGTTCGATCAGCTCTTCACTTGATAAAAACATCCTAGTGATTTCCTTTATTCACCCACCGCCCTCCGACCTTGACAGCAGAGAAAACTGTCACAACACATGAAGACACACAGACACACACTCCTGACATGACTCTCACCAACGACTGACAATCACAATGTAACATTTTTAGTGAATGACTTTTGCTTTTTTCTGATTCCTCTGCACTTTTTAATGGTGAGGAAGTCGCTCACAAAGACAACTGAACTCGTCCAATGACACTGGAGCAGAGCCAGCACAACACCGTCTCCGTGGGTCAACATGTGGGACGAGCAGAAAAGAGAAAAATATCGAGTTACATAAACATTTATCTGAGAAAGAGCTGCTGCGGAGGCAGGTGTCCTCAGTGGGAGCACAGCGGGTTTGAGTAAAGACAAAATAAATCCACACAACCAGCTACAGTTAGATACAAGTCATCATGGAAATTCTGACATGTCTGAAATCCATCTCCTTCAATTGTTATTGTCATTTAGACCAAATATTACGAAGGTTAAAAACTACACTCTGATTTGCAGTGGACGTCAATGTCACTCAAACAGAATTTATTATATATTTTATAGACCGTGTTTTTAGAGGGCCGTTTGTCCGAACACAAATGAAGGAGGCAAAACATATTTAAGACACTCTGTGGATGTTTTTCTCTGCCACGAACAAAACCGCAAATCACCCGTGCAGCCGTGTGAGAAGACAACAGGAAAACGGATAGAAAACTGATAAGTAAACTTGTCAGCAGGCTGCTTCCTGCTTCCTGTTCACTAAAGTCCAGCAAAAAACTTGACTAATATACTTATACTTCAAAAATGGCTCAACAATGTATTTAATATACTGTATGTTAAAATTAAGGTTAAAAAGTAGCAAAATTTATGAGTAAAGAAGGTCATAAAAAGTTAGGAAAATAAGAGCGCACGTTGGTGTAGTTAAAAAGTTCTATATCTGTTCTTTGTGTTTAACAGTCAAACAGATACTTTGACAAATATTGCTGACCTATAATATCCATACTGCCATGGATTTGTCAGTAAGAGAGAGTTGGTGAATTAAGGCCCACAGAACACAGTCGTGAGCTTCAGTAGTTAGAAGGAGCTGCTATTATTACTCAAAGTAAATCACACCTTTATGACCCAGTGTAAACTGCTTAATTATCATTTGTAGCATCTAAACAAACATGTTTTAAAAGGGACTAAAGATGATCTGAACTGAATATTGAGCTATAAAAGTGGAATTTAAAAACGGCTAACGTTCCAGCGTCTACATGTACCCACTATAACCTGCTCTTTTCCCACATGAATCCCTTGGTTAACTATTCACTAACTGTACATTAAGTCATGGAAGTCTTTAACTGCTAGTCAAGGCGATCCACGGGACTTTTCCTCAAGTGCTCTCTTTTTCACAGTGACTTTACATCCAAAATTGTTTCACAGACAGAAAGAGGTATCACTGCGTCAAATACACACACACCTGTTGTAGAGTGGGTGTGTTGGTGCGTGTAAAGTGACTCACAAAAATCACATGGAGAAAAGAGCAAACACAGCAGATGCTGTCATTGCTTTCTTTGTGATCATCAGCAACGGACCGTTCAGGTCCACGCCCCTCCTGTTTGACCAGGTCTCTGAAGGCAGCACAGGAAACACAACAACAACCTCTGGGCCCACAATTGATGGCTGTGAGCTTAGGTTCATTAACGATATCTATGTATGTACAGTATTAAAGTGACTGATCTGGGATCAGAAATCAAAAGCCCTATGGTTCACTTTGGAGTCAAACACTCCTATACACTATATACAAGCCCACACTTCATTTCTTTATCCGATTAGAGATTAGATTACGACTAACTTGGTTTTTACCATGCCTATTCACACCACGGTCAAAGAACTGTGGAGAATTTAGGTTTTTTTCTTTCATAACATAACTCTAAGTTCTCGTGGTCCAAACGTACATCCAGCTTAATGTTTACAATCTGTGGCGCACGTTAAAGGGACAGATGGAAATGAAAGCCTCTGGGTGGGGGGGGGGGGGGGCCGGTAAAGGGGCAAAAACGGGGGGGGACAAAGCTCATGAGGAGGACTCGTCCTCACGCAGGTCCTCCAGTTCTCCTTCTCTGGGTCCATCTCCAGTACTGCTCTTTCTAAGAGGAGACAAAACAATGGAAACGGCACTGTCCCATTATCTCATGATAACAAAAGGTAAAAGGGAGGTGGATGTGGAGGTCAGGGGG